AAAAAACATTCATATCTTGTCTGACATCTTAGCTACAAACTCGGGTTTTCAATTGAAAACCCGAGTTGAAGACCCGAGTTTATAGCAGTGATGTCAGATAAGATACGAATGTTTTTTTGAGCTCAAACGAAAGAGCGGGTCGAGAAATGACGTACTAGGGCCTCTAAACAAGATAAATGTCTCTAAAGATGATGTCTGTTTTCAATTGAAAACCCGAGTTGAAGACCCGAGTTTATAGCAGTGATGTCAGATAAGATACGAATGTTTTTTTGAGCTCAAAGGAAAGAGCGGGTCGAGAAATGACGTACTAGGGCCTCTAAACAAGATAAATGTCTCTAAAGATGATGTCTGTTTTCAATTGAAAAGCAGAGTTGTGACATCATTGTCTAGGAGGACAATGGGGTCTAGGAGTATGTATAGAACATTGGGATCTAGGAGTCTCCCCCTCAGCACGTCCAGCCGTCAGATTCGACCGTGGCGCCATCCCTCCGTTGGGGTCGTACTAATTCTGACTTGGGGTCACCGAAACCCCAAGATCTGAGCCTCTACTTTAGTCTATCCTCTTTGGATGGAGCGTCCACATCGGAGTTCTATTCTAATGAATTTCGCCCACGTTACCATCTGAAATGATGTCAATCAACACTATATAGAAGTTGATGAATCAGTCACTACGCGTCGCCCCTGACGCTGTTGAGATCCCCCGAGTGCACCCCACATTCTCACGACGTCTGCACTCCCAGTTGCAACGTACAAATATTTTTGTGAATGACGTTTAGTCGCTGGTGAATGTATTTTTGTGGTTATTATTCAATGTAATTACTCCAAATTATTTTATTCGTAAGCGGGACACAAGAGCAATTGTCACATAATGGAGGAGATATTTCATGAAAAGGTAAACACGCAAAATAACATTTGTTGAGAAATATTTGCGTATTACTTTGAGCTAATTTCTCTGAGGCAAGAGGACATAAATTTGTAATTTTCTTAATCATCCTTTCAGCAAGAGGGATATCTGTGTGGCCAACATTGCTTGAATTCCCTTCTTCAAGGGTCATATTTCAATGCTGTAGACCTGGGGTGTCTTGCCAGGCAGCTGGATGACGAGGAGGAAGCGAGAATGGCTGAAGCTGGTATAGACAGTGAAGATTATAAAAGATTCAGAGAAGTAACTATGTATTGAAAAACTTATTTATGCATTAACTCATGCTTGGAGGTGATTGGCTCACTTACCTCACTGAATCATTCATTTTTCTCATTCGGTATATCATCCAACAGTTGTAAAAATAATTGCCTCATGAATATGACTGACAATATTTTGATTTTATTTTTAGCAACCTTCTGGCAATGTGGACGACAGTGGATATTTTTCAGTTCAAGTGATAAGTAGTGCCCTCAAAGTTTGGGGACTGGAGTTAGTACCATACAACAGCAGAGAGCCCATAGCTATTATCGCACAGAATGATCCTACGTAGGTGTTTGATCATTGACTATCATGAACTATTAATAAAATTCCTCACGTTAATTCTTCACGATCATATTTACAAAGTTTTACGTCAGAATGCAGCTATTTTTATTTCCTTTATTCGTTATTTTTAGACAAATGCAGGCATATATATGCAACTACAAGGGCCACTGGTTTACCATTCGTAAAATTGGAAATCAGTGGTTTAATCTCAACTCGATATTAAGTGGTCCTCAGCTTCTATCTAACACCTACTTGGCAATGTATTTTGCACAATTGTTACAAGAGGGTGAGTGTGTTTACATTCTCTCACAACACAGATTGTTGCCATTATATATTTAATTTGCTTGTTATCTCTACAGGATACTCAATATTTATCGTCATTGGACAATTGCCAGAGTGTAAGGCTGACGAGATACTACTGAAGAATCCAGTAAAAATTACCCAAAAATCCGGAAAAACAAGTACTGATGAGACTAAAGTATTTGAGTCCACGGGTCATAGATTGGGGACGATGGAAGAGGACGAGGAGGCGAAAATACGAGAGGCTGTGGCAGGATTGGAGGCAGTTAGAGTACCATCGAGTTCAAGTGCAGTTGGAAGCACAGTTAAACCATTAGGCAAGCCACGAGAGAGGATAATACCAATTGAGATTGAGGGGGATGAGAAGGACGAGAATGATGACGAAGATCTGCAGAGAGCACTGCAGCTCAGTCTTCAGGATGTTAATGAGACGACAGACAAACCCCTTAAACTACGACTCGATTTAGATTCAAACAAATCCGAGAGGTTCTATGAAACGATAGAGGAGGAGTCTGACGATGATGACGAGTTAAGAAGGGCCCTTCAGTTGAGCCTCGAGTGCGTTACAGCACCACCCACTCCAGACCCTGAGGATGTGCGCTGGAAACGCCTGAGATACCTGGGAATTCATCAGCCCAACAACGAGCCCTCGACTCAGTTAAATACTTAACAGTGAGACGATAGCTGGTGGTTACATTTTCTCTTGAATTTTATTCTTTTTATATCTCATCCTTGAATCAACTTTTAAAAACCACTATCGTGATTATCTTTGATTCCAATGGAATTGTAGAAAAGATTATGAATATTTTTTTGATTGAAAACTCTATAATCGTGTGTTTGAAATAAATTTCTATATTCATTTTAATGATTAATAAGGTTGTGTACTTTGTTTTAATACTGGGAGATTGAGCAATGCGCATGAATAAAATGTTTTTGTTTCGTAATGTGTGGGGTTCTATTTATTGAGACTTGAATTTGGTTCTGAAACGCACGGTATGCATCAGGAGAGCAGGAGACGTGAAGAGGTAAATTCACGCAGAAACTCGATTGACGATCCAACTCACTTCCCGTCACTTTATGGGCTCCTGATATGCCTGAAGATATTCTGGTTCGAAATATTGTCTCTGGACGTCCATATCCCGTCCTCTCGAGTCGAAAACAACCACCGTTTTGGACTCATCACCAGATATTCAGTAGCAACGACGAGGTAACTCCTAATTCTATCGCGGAGAATTTTGTTGCAGTGAAGTATGGTTTCATCATAAAGAGGAAAATATTTAAACTCTCAATTGCATTTTTCCAGAATTTTCATAATAAAAAGATGTATCATGGAGGTAGGCGCGCCTAGCGATCGTAAAAGACGATCCATTATACGCACTTTATAGATATCTACTTCTGGCTTCATGTTACCTTGATACATTCGGAGATTTTTCTGGTCCGAAATGCTGTCATTGGCATTTTCAGTAGTCGAGACGAACATTCGGGCTCGAAAAATCGTAGGAGGTAACAGGGTAGCATGATAGTTGGGCGTAAATCTGGTGTTTACGGAGAGGAAAGTTCGAAAATGCTCGATTAGATTCTCTCAATGTTTGGAACGAACATTTGGGCTTGAAAAATCGCCTCATGTAGCAGGAACTCATAATGATGCAGGTGGTGAATTGCTTGCTGTCACCAAAAACCTCAGAATATTTGAGTCTAAATATTTGGTCTCGAAAAATCGCAGAAAGTAACAGGAGCACAGGAGTAGTACAGAGTTGGTATGGAATTTGTAGGGTACCTCAAGGCAGTTTCCATCAGTGTTGGGAATTCGCCTTGAGTTGGACACGAGATGGCGCTGAGATTCAAATTTCTATGTTTAAATTATAGTGTAGGAGTGCAACGAGTTTGTGCGAAATATCTCGGAATTGAGGCATGTAGAATTTTAACAGAATGCTTTTGTTAAGGATATTCCACAATGAACGCAACGTTGATTCAACACAATGTTTACAATTGTCAAAATAATCGAAAAACAATTGAATATTTTTAACAGTTCCACGCGTTGCGTTCATTGTGGAATCTCCTTTATAGGTCTTATTTTGTGTCGCAGAAAGTTATGAAATAGTATATTTCGTAACGAGTGCAAAAAAGTGTTTTTTAGCTCGTGGGATTATATCACTCGCCTTCGGCTCGTGATATAAACCTCCCACTCGCCAAAAAACACTTTTTCACGAGTTACGAACAATATTTTTCATCACAATGTGACGGAAATGGGACTTTTAGGCACGCGGAGCGTGCGTGTTATTGGATTGAGATTCATCATGCATTGAAGATCTATTATATACGTCTAAAAATGAATAATTAATAGCCAAATTCGTATAGGAGTAGCAACTGGAGGACAGGAACGAAAAAGGACAGAGAGGGTTCCTCCAACATGGATAGCAGAACCCTTTGACTTAATCTGGTTCTCCTAAATAAATCAAAAGGCTGTATCATTTAACCCTGTCTCGTCCCATCTCGCTTGATTAAGAGAAAAAAAAGAAAAATTCTTTGCTTTTCACTTCTGTATTTTTAATGAAACATCGGAACGGTCATTTTTCGCGACGGTCGCAAGGATAGTATCTCGCAAGGGTCATGCCTCGCGAGGGTCAAACGGCCCAAGAGTGATAACTCGCAAGGGTCAAACGATTACCAAAGTCAAGTCACAGAAGTAGGGAGGATAATCACATGTGTCGAATGATAAAAAATTTAGCGGAATAATCAGAAGGCTCTTCTATTTGACCGCAGAGAAGGAAAGTGGATTAGCTTTAGAAAAAAGTTTCCAAATTTTAGAAACCGTGGCTTTTAACCTTTAGTTTTCTAAAATCTAGACACCTTTTTCTATAAGAAAGAGAGATCCGTCGACTAACGACACCTTCAGCCTCTAACCGAACAAGCCTCGGTGGTTCCCCCCTCGCGCTACTATTTCCGAACGGCTCCGAACGGAGGACTAGTGGGCCGAACGACACGAGAGATCATGCTGTGAAATATTTCAGTTTGTTTTGCTTGGTGTTGCTGTCCTAACGAAAACATGACTTAACCTTTATTAATATTATTTTTTCTAAATGAAATCTATACATAGGCATTGAAAAATGGTTTACTTACATTTTCCATCGAATTTGACAGAGGAAGAGTTGATGCTGCAGGCAAAATACAACAAATTGAAGAGAAAAGTGAGTGAAAAATAAAAAATGAGGTTATATTTACCAACATATACAATAACAAACTCTATTTTTTATCAGAAAAAAGCCCTCCAAGACTTAAAAACTCCTAAACCAGAGCCGGAACGAATGCCCCAGGCTCCAAAACGTCCAACAGAAGCCAGAGATGCTCGTGAGGTGGCAAAAAAACTGATAAAATCAGGTGTGATCACCGCGCCTAAGACTCCAAAACGACCAGAGCAGTCGTTCAAGCGTCCTCGAGGTTTAGAACGAAAACTAAACAGCACAGAGAAAACTGTTTGTTCATACCAACCTTTCTCAGCAACACAATCAGAGGAGGAGGAGGCCGAGGCAGCCGCTAGACCTCGTGTCAAGGACCTGTATGACAGTTTTGTAAGTGCCCAGAGCACTGAGGAAAATCCACCAGCTGTTAGACCAACCCCAGCTAAAATTGAACATAAACCGAGGACTGGTAACACAATATTTGTCTGCGGATATAAGATATCTGAAGATTTCTTGAAGAAACACTTCAGTTCATTTGGAAATATTATCAATATCACGATGGAAGCTGAGAAGAAGTGAGTAAAAAATCTTTGACTTATCTTAATGATCAAAACTTCAATTAAATGATAAAGAGATATAGATTAAAAATTCATATTCAGATTTTTTGGATATACTAAAACAGGGCGCAAGCCTATTGTTTTACGTGGGTGCCAGAATAGTAAAACCTTCTGCCGTTTCTCACTTTCATTAATCTTTATCTCAATAATAATGCAGGCAAAAAGCATAGTTTTAACAAAATTTTTCCCAATAAAAATTTGATTGTTGAATAACTTATTCGTAATCGTCGTAATCCTTTTCATTTTCTTCTTCGTTTCTCTATTGCTTTTTGCGTTCTTTTTTATTTTTAGGGATGTATTATGTACTATATACATATATGCTATCCTGTATATATTTTTTACAGAACTATATTAACTTTTTAACAGTTGGAAAAAAATTAAGGAATAAAAAAATATATATTCATATAGTATATATAGCATGTATTATATACCATATATAGTATATATTATATAATATATACATATATACTATCTTATATATGTATTGTTTTATTACAGTAAGAAATGAATTTCTCTTTTTTAATAATTAATGTAAACAAAAGATTACAGTACATAAAAAAGTATACATTGACATCATATTACATTACTTGATAAGCGGAATAGAGGCTTCAAAAATCGTTACACTGGATTTTTTTAAAGTGCAATTTCGCAAATGAAGGGGTTTGAGAAATTTATGGAGAAACTCCCTCTAGCTTATTCATTTTTATACAAAAAGTTTTTCAATGCATTGCCCAAAAGATCTGCGTTCCACAACTATTTTTGAATCAATAGTGTAATTGTTTGAAACTCATCATGTATAAGTCATTTCATAAATTTTTCCGGAGTAAATGAATAAACCTGAATTCTTAAACCTCTTCTTTCTAGAGGTACTCACTGAATGATACATAAGTATTTATTTGGAAGATATTTTTTTTGCGTTTAAAGGTTTCCATAAAAGCAATGTTCCTCATTGACATTTTTCCCTGAAAAGTTTCTTCATAGAATAATTTGAATCTCTTCACTCCGAATATATCTGCGAAATTATGTGAGGTAGGAAACTTGTCATTCTCTGACCCCCACCTACTCCAAAATAAATATCTCCAGATTTTTTTTCCAAATTTTTCCACAACTTGTACAAGAGATATGATTTTATTTTCGTGCTCCCCCCCCCCATTTTTTCACATAACTCGCTTTTTAATCAACGGACGTGAATCTATCAAACACCAAAATTGTAAAATTTATTGTTCAATACAAGGAGAACAAGAACGAAAAAATGAAAAAACTTGAATTTTGTTGATTATTTTACGTTTTATTCACTTAATTTCTTTTTCGACAGTTTTCACAAATAAAACAAGTATTTTGAGTCACATTAGAAGTTGGGCAACTTCCTGGATCTATTTCATTTTCAATTTCTTCCGTCACAATTTACTAATTCCCTTCGGAAATTTCTAGCAAGATATCAGGTGACGTTGAGTATACTTATAAAAATGATTTATTGAATTATTTTACATATTTTGCAGGTGTACAATCAATATCATGTGAAGAGTTTCTAGAAATTTCCAACGAAAACTGGGAAATTCTGAACAAAAAAATTGAAAAGATAAATAGATCCACGACTTTGCCCAACTTTTAGCATGGCTAAAAAACCTCGTATTGATGGTGAGAATTGATAAAAAAGCAATGAAGAAAATAGAACGTAACGGAATTATTAAAATTCAAGTTTTTATTTTTTTTTGCTTAAAAATTTTTCATGGTAAACATTTTGTAACATTTAGTAAACATTTTCATGTAAAACGAAAAAATGAATTCTGAAATTAAATAATAATAATATAATAATAATGATATGAAAGCAATCTTGAAACTTGGAGACAAAATATTTGTTGATAAACTTCCCTCTATAAAAGATATTTTTATCCTGAAAAGGCCCTGTCTTGTATGAATGATGCGCCTCTTCAGCCAAATATTTCGTTGTTGTTAAAAGCAGAGCAATTATTCATCTTTGAGACTTTCAAATTCGAACCAAACAATTAAGGGATAGTGGGGCAAAATGAAACAGCCGAAAAACGACTATTTCATGCAATACAAGCAAAAAAATTTTTTTTTATCAACTTTTGTTTATTAACTTTTTTGATTATTGGGAGTACTGATGCGAACAATAATTTCCTATTCGTCTTATAATTCAATTGATTAGATTAGGCCGATTACACTTTTCTTTTTTCATTCGATTGAAATTCAGCCTCACATTTCCCGTTTTCCTCCCTCTGGGTCTCCCCCTGGGCCTCGCTCTGGACTTTGGATTTTGCTGTTTCATTTTCTGTTCAATTAATCCATTGACAAAATCTTCTCCCGTCAAAACTTCTCAATAATTTTCCATTCTACTGAATGGAAAATTATTATTCTCGTCCGTACTCCCAAGAATGAAAAGAAGTTGACAAACAATAGTTGATTAAAAAAAATATTTAATAAATTTTTTTTTCTTGAATTGCGTTATTTTTGGCCTGTTTCATTTTGCCCCACTCTTTCATATTTTTTTGGTAATTTTCTACTAACGATTATGCTGGCCCAAACAAGACTCGTTTTAAAACTGGTAGACTTTTTCTCTCAGTTTGCCAATTAACGTTTATAAGACAAAAAAATATCATGGCGCATCTCATGCTACTCTCCCAGTAATTCATTTTTTTTTCCAATGTCCTAATTAATTTGAAGCCGAGGTTTCGTGACATTCGACAAGCCTGATGCAGCAGAGCGGGCAATAAACGACATGGACGGCAGTATGGTGTCGTCAATCCAACTGAAAGTCTCCCTTGCTCGTCGTCAGCCAATTATTGACCCAATAAATGACACCACATCCAGCTCCATGTGGTCCTCGATAGCAGCGAATTACTCTCAAAAATCAGCCCACAAAGACCGAAGGGATATGAAGGTTTACGAGGAGGATCTTTTCCAGTGAAAGACAAAATTAGTTGACTATTCTCTTGTTCATTTGTTTGTAATCAATGAATACTTCATGTATTAAAGCATATAAGTAACAATTATTCATAGACTCAACAATTGTAGAAATATATGTGAAATATAATATTAATTATGTTATAGGATTATTATACAAAGTCACTTGTATAGTCATGTCTCGAGTTTTTAATACCAAAAAAAGAAAAGAAATTAAATTACGTTTTGATAGTTCAGGGTCACCTGGAATTGAAAATAAAAATGTTTCATGTTTAACCCCTACAACCGAGGTGGATTGAAGTAATCCCAGTGATGATGGTGATTAATAGTTCTAGGAGCAGCAAAACAAACAATGAGAAGCCCAGCAATGATCAGTAGAAGAGCACAGAGTGTCAGTTCAACCTCTCTGATCTTTGCCTCGGTCTCTTCCTGACTAACTCTGGAAACAACGTAACTCACAAAGTGACGCATTGCACGTTTGCCAGCTAGTCTCAATGCTCGTAATAACTGCTGGGTCATATCAATAACGCCTGGTTCATCGTTGCCAGAGTTAGGGGCTGGTTGGGGAGTTTGAACTTGTGGTGAGGAGAGGGCAAAAAATTGAGGAGGTATTTGGGACGTCTGAAATGCGATAAACTGAGGTGGTATCGGCGATGAACGTTCTAGAGATTCTGGGGATTCTGGGGAAGTTTCTGCTGAGTATGATATTGTTGCACGTTGTGGCTTTGATTGGGACGTTTCAAATTTCTTGTGAGGTACCGTTGGTGCCTCTAGTGGGGCGGACGGCTCCACCGTGTCAGGAGTGACTGAAATGGCAGGGGGGAGCGATCGGACTGGAGATGCGGTTTCTCTGCTTATTAAGGCTCCTGTAGTGGTTGTTCTCATTGGAGAATCTGCCCTGGATGTTGATTTTGATGATGTTGGTGACACGTCTTTGGTAGACTCCACTTGGTGGTGAATCTCTCGAATAGGCACTTGCTCAGATCCCTGACTTGAGTACAATGCACGAGTTTCCATCGACTTCGATAAAGGTTCTAATTGCAATTGATGGCGCTTTGGAGACCCAGCCCTGGATTCCTTGACTTCGATGATTGTTGATTCAGTCTTGGAGTCACTTGGGGAATCCTCAGACACTATGAAAGGGGTTCCAGGGGAAGATTGAGGTTGAGAAGCTGCTACAGCCTCCAATTGATTTCTAATTGCTACCAGTTCTCTCAATAATGAGGGATTAATCACAGGCTCATCGTCCTCAGCACAAGTAATCTCCGATGCTGACACCACAATAGCATCTAATTCAGATACTGCTATTTTATGGGCCTCCAATGTTGAAACACTCAGTTTATCCACTCGTAAATCCCCAACTTCCAGATTCGCTATTTTAAATGTCTCACTGGTTAGTAAAGCCGTTAATCTCTCCTCCAACTCCTCAATTGCGGTTATTCTTGGGTCGTGGGTGTCGTCCCCTCGTACTGAGAGACTTTGACTTCTAGTTCTCGGTGGTCGTTGTGGTGGAACATCTGGAAATTCTGAAGATATTTTCTGAGATGGAAGAGGTGGTACATCAGGAACATCGAAATCTCTCTCGGGGGTATCATCTCTTCGTTTTCTTGCTAATTCTGGTTCGGATCTTGTTGATGTTCCTCTCAAAACATCGTGATCTAGACTAGGTATTTCTTCGTGGGAAATCGCTGTAATTTGAAACGGACGGGGAGTGGGGATTCGTTCAGTGGACACCAGGATCTGCGATCCTGTTAATGAAGGAGTGATGACAGCTCTAGCCTGTATGATTTCTTCCTCAATGACCATGTCATCTGGTAGGGGATCAGTCTGTGTGGAAGAGGCGTAAGTCGGCAAGTCTTGTTCTTCATCTCGTCGTTCCTGTGCTTTATCTTTCCCTTTCGTACGGATAGGTCTAGGAGGAGCAGGTAAGGGTCTTCCTGCCATCTTCATCATCACCTGGCCACTCATGAGCTCCCGGAGGTGTTCGCCATCAATGTCTTCTAATCCATTTCCCTCTTCTGGATCAATCTCATCGTAAGGTGTCACTCGATCCTCCTCTGGGCGATCATAAGACCTTGGACGGAGTGTACTGTAGGCCCTTTGAGGTCTCAAGGGCCCTGAAGATCGTCTCGGAGTTGTTGCGAATTTATCTCGACGTCTTCTAGGGGGTGCAGGTCTCGGAGGCTTCTCTTTCTTGTCAATAACTGCGTAACCAGGGAAATTTCCTCGAGAGTCGGTGTCGTTGTCTCTCGAAACTCTTTCATTATCCTCTTCTTCGTCATCTATATATGCTACATCTAAAGATTCAGCTCCTCGTGAAATTACATCATCATCCTGGAATATTGAGGTTCCTCTTGATCTTGAACGTCTCTTCGGTGGGATAGGGACGTGCTCCACTTCAAGTTCTAGGTCTAGTTCTGCTTGCGGTTCAATGTAATCATCTTCTACTTGAGTAATTATGTTCACTGTTTCTCTACTAGGCATTCGTGCGGGTTTCACTGGAGGTTCAGACTGTGGTCGTGTGATTTCAGTTCTCCAGGAGTCCAGTTCTGGTGTATGATGTCCATTGCACGATTCTATCCCATTTATTTGCTGTTTCACTTCTCGGGCACGGCGTTTACGTCTCTGAGGAACTGGCGGGGGAGACACTTCGGGGGAAATCTCGAGAATTGGCTCGGAAGGGACTAGAGAAGAACTTCTCAAAGAAGATCTGGATTTTCTTCGCAGAGGTTTGACCACAATAATGTCATCGAGAGGCTCGACATGACTCAGGTCCATTGGTGCTGATTCTGCATGGTAGACGATGCGATGATGAGAACCCGAGAGACTGTCAGAGTTGTCTATGATATTTGATCCATAATCTGATTCTTCACTTCTTCGTAAGATCCGTTTGGGTCTGTTGGGGGGAATATTTTCGATGGATTCTAAAGACTCTTCCTTTCGTTGCCGAAGATTTCTCTTGCGCGCAGGGCGTCGAGGAGGCGGCTGAGGCGGCGATTCGAGGACAATTATCTCATCCGCTAATGCATTTCCTGGCGCTCTCAAAGCCTCTCGTATCTCCGAGGTCAAGTACTTTGCCACTGTCATGTCGTCCTGGCTAATTCCTTTGACCCTCACGAAAATTTCATCTGAGTCTATCTCCTCAATGACACCTCGACGTCTTCTTTCGTAGGAACTTCCGCTTGATGCCTGTTGTTCTCGATCAGATGGCGCGGATTCATCCTCCGGTTCAGTTGAGTAACGATCCTCTTCCTCCGGTTCTCGATCATCCATTCCTACTCCCCCCTCATTCTCTGAATCTCTTCCTTCCGAGGATGGGAGTCGTTTCTTGCGGATATCTTGAGGATCAACAGCTCCAAAGGAAACTCTGTAAACTTCTCGTTGCAGTTCCTCTCTTTCCAAACGAGCAACGTCTTGATCGCCGTACATTCTTGGATCAATTTGTGGGGGTTCTGGCTCGTAGGATTCCTCTGAATCGCGGTGAATTATCTTGGATAATTTGGGGATGGTCGTCTCCTCGATTATCTCCGGTTTTGAACCTTGTAGATCATATGGGAGTCCTTCGTCTTGGATGCTAGCTCGATGTTCGTCAATCCACGCAATTGGTTCGGAGTCTTCTACAGATTCCTGCCCACGTAAGGAGAGTCTGGGCTTCTCCAAGTTAGGATGCTTCCAAGGTTTCTCTATCTCCTGTTCATCTTTGAGTTTAATGTCCGTGAATCGAGCAGTCCATCGACTTCCAAGTGATGTCTTGGACTTTTTTACTCTTGGTAAGGTCGTGCTCTCAGATGACTGTGCTCTGGAATCCTTAGGCGATGATGTGGCATACTCGCCGTGCTCCTTTGACTTGCGATCGAAGAGTCTTGGCACAGTGGAGAAGTCAAAAATATTTCTTCTTGACCCTGCAGTAGATTCACTCGAGTGCTGTCTCTGTTGCTCCCCAAGGCTTGGGGTTTTACGTCTACCCGGTAGATTGGGCAAGTGAAAGCTCGATCTGCTCGGTAGTTTTGGGAAGTTTGGGAATTTTGATTTATCTGGGAGGGAGAATTTCGGTCGGTCAGGCAGTGATGATCTTATTCGATCTATCCTACTGGGTTTATCTTTAGTTGATTCACGTTTACGTGAACCCTCTGGTGACTTTGATTTTTCGGATGATCTTGTTTTATCAGAGGATTTTGATCGCTCGGATGAGCGCACTTTGGGCGATTTTTTTCGTTCGATTGGAAAAGTAAAATGGGGTCGTTGAATGCCTTTTATACGGGAACGTAGTTTTCCGGCTTGAGAGCGCAAACGCTGGGGAAGACCACGGGCACCACGGCGCAGTGGTAATTCCTCCATTACCGATGAGTCCACCTAAAGAAAAATCCAAAGATATCAAACTCGAGCACAAATGATTGAACTAGGGTATTGAGGGGGGATACGTCGGTAAAATTTAAAAGTCTTCACTGGGTCTTCGGACCCATTGAACAGGTTGTGATATATAACGGAATATGGAAATAACTAGGGAAAATCGCGGACCCGATTGATTTTGCCCCATATAACCGCGAAAAAGTTCATTTTTTCCTGTTTTTACTTTCAAAATGCTGCTTGCGCCGTAGTTTTCATACGATTTTAGCTTTTTTTAAGTGTACGTTACACTCCAAAGAACACGTGTGAAAAAATTCAATAGAACAACTTACCGAATTCGCTAGAAAATTCTATTGGAATTCTCTAGAAATTCTAGGGAATTCTCATTAAAACTCTATTTGTTTTTTGCGCTGATTCTATGAGATATTTGATAGGAAAAGTCTATAGATTTCGATTTTTCTTGGAAATTTTCTATAAGAATACTTGGGCATGAATTTTTAAAGTTTTTTTCACCTGGATCCTGCAATGCAAAACAAAACAGAATATAGCGAAAAAAACTTGGAAAATCCGTGCCCAATTGTTTCAATAGAAAAAATCGCAAGAGAACAATTCAAACAGAAAAATCGAAATCTATTGACTATTTCCTATCAAATACCAAACAGAATCTGCGCAAACAACAAATGGAATTTTAACGAGAATTCCCTAGAATTTTAATAGAATCCTAATAGAATTTCTAGAGAATTTTCTTGCCAATTAGCTAAAGTTTTCTGTTGAATTTTTTAATGCGTGAATAAAATTTAGCATCCGTTTTCCTTCATTCACAATAGATCATGAATAAATGAATTTTGAATTTCATAAATTTTACTCTATTTTAGAGCCGCAAAAAATTTATGAAATTCAAAATTCATGATCTATTGCGAATAAACTAAAACGTATGCTTAACTTTATTCTTTGGAGTGTAACGAGCATTTAAAAAAAAAGTTAAAATCGTATGAAAAAATGAAGTTTTTCGTGATTATACGGGGCAAAATCGATTGAATCCGCGATTTTCCCTAGTTTTTCCCATACTTCGTCATATATCACAAACCGTTCAATCGTTCAGTGAAGACTTTCGAATTTCACCGACGTATCCCTTTAAACTCATTCCAATTGAGTTAAAGCTGAAAAAAATACGAGAACATGTTTACGTTGAGACAGTGAAGTCATCGTATTCGTAAATTTACACAGAAGATTTCTGCTGCTTTGCGACATATACGAGACAATATTTTTGGAGTCGACATAATTTTCAGATTTATTCCGGGAGTGTGTTATATGTGTCGCTTGTCGCAACAATGGCCCAGATAACATGATGGAAAAAGAAAAGTTTCTAGGTCTGATGAGCTCATCATTCAAATCGAAAACCGAATAAACAAGGGGAGTCTATAATTATGGTTGAAATAACCAGGTGACACGTGAGCTCTTACACTTGTGCGAATCTCAAGTGTGTTTTGAATAACTGACGTCAATTAAACTGTTTATCTACAATGTAATTTCAATATATCGCTCTCATCACGAGCATGAGCTGATTCGAGCACCTGACGCTGTCCGAAAATTCGAAAATTTTCATTTGCATTTTTCTCTGAGTTAGAATAAAGGAAAATACTTCTCGCTTTCTGAGATGATGGTAAGATAGTTGAATAACCACTTAGTGAAAACGAAAGAGAAATAAAACAATTTAAATGGCTTTGAGATGTCTTGAAAAACCTCAATTTTCGGCGAAAATTCTACTTTTCAGAACAATAATTAATGAGTTGAAAAATGCAAAAAAAATATTCCCATATTCTTTAGCTCACTGGAAGCAGCTCAGTGAAAAATAGTAATAAGGTGCGAATAATTTCCTGACATAATGAAGATTTGAAAGTCTACTAGCGCTTTCACGTGTATATGACCACACGAAAGATGCGAAGCTGTGCGCGATGCTAAAAAGCATTTCTAAAATCTGAAAAAATTTATATAACTTCATGCTTTAACGTTCCATCGGCTGATGAGATTGCACAAGTAGAATGTGGAATTTTGCTACCATGGGTGTACCTAATCTACATCCATGTAAAATTTTTTGATACATATCTCCTTCTGTTCAATATTTAATCGACTCTTCAACTCTTCCAAGAATTTAAAATTGCACAAACAATGAGGAAAAATAGTAATAAATGAACTCACCTGACTGGTATTGACTTCGCCATCAGTCCTGGATTCGGTGCCGGGTGTAGCAGTATTCAGGAATCGCTCTTCAAGTCGATCCTGCAGTTGCTGTGCAGTTTCATGCTCCAGGTCGTCTGACGTATCACCACTCCCGAGCTCTCTAGCTTCCATGGCGTTGTCCTCAATCTGTCCATCGAGGGGAAGTACCACATCGTCATCATCAAGGACCGGACCAGGAGTGAATCGGCCTTTCACGTCAATGCTATCATCGCTGTCGGCGACGGGCACGACGTCCGTGTCGATGATCCTCACAACTGGCGCCGTAGCCGGGGCCATTGTCCTCGGTGCCCACGCGGCGCCAACCGGCTCATACTCATGATCACTGTACACAGAAGTCATATTTTCCCTATAATAAAGGGTGCCCAATGATTTACATCCACTTTCCCCCAATACTATTTGCAAAATTCAACTTCCACTTTGTGCTCAAATTTTCGGTCGACTTTGAATGACTTTGTATACATGATTTGTATACACGTTCGAAGTACCAAAAGTGATAAACCTCGGGAGGGTGAAAGACATTCGCGTCGTAGTCAGTCAGTCAGCGAAGACTGGACGCGGAAACCGGGAGAGGCTGACCGGTCCCGCGCATCTATCTATAGCCACCCGGGCGAACCTTAAATAGCTACGTTTGCTTTTACCGTGTTGCCGACTGTGACCAATGTGTAACCCAAACTACCCAGACAAACACACAAATTACGAAATCATTGCCAGTCAGCGTCATTAAAATTTTGTTTCCCCATGCTTTTAAATAGACGGCAGAGTTCCAGTTGAGTGTATACTCTGTCTCCAGCTATCCTATCTTGACCTATCCACCTTGAGATAAATGGCGCAGTCTGAGTCGAGTATTTAACCCAGAGGACAGCAGGAAAAAAAAACTTACCAGGTACCAGACGTTGTCATTGGATTAGCATTTCTCGATGAGGGCCTCATCATCATGGCACGTCTTTCTGGTAGCAATGAGTCACTCTGGAAATACTGACAACCGCATCGCACTTCTCTGCCGTAGCTGGATGTTGATGAGGCTCGCGATCGGCCCTTGACGTCTTGCCCCTCCATAATATCTCCACTCCTTCCTATTTCTCAACAATCACCACCCCCATATTGCCTCCACTCTTCCAATTCCACTCAACCTCCGATAATGAAAACCGGAGTTTGAGTGCCCAAGAACAAAAAGGACCACGGTCAGCATCCACCAACTACTTCAGACGAGACACTCTACAATGCTAATCTCCCCTCATCACCATCCCCATCCTCCCGTCCCTCTAATCGCCACTTGGTTAACATACCTGTGCCAAACTTACACCTCTAAACTTGTTTCTTTTATCTCTAACTATTGAGCATACCCAGGATAAATTTAGAGTAGTTCAAGCCGATGTATCTGTGATTATATAAATAGATCGTTGAGATATTCCCCACTACCACCAGCATCACGTACTTGCTCTTTATATTTGCCTATAGGAATTTTGTTTTGCGCTCGCGCATTCAAACTGCAGGTCCCTCTTTTTCTACGTTTCAACCCAACCCCTTTGCCGCTCTCTCTCTCTCTACTCCTTCTATCTTGTGCAGCAGTAGGTGCATCTCTCTTGCTCAACGCCCGAAAATTCTCTCATCTCACCATTTGCGCTCGAATGTGCATCGACCGCGCTAGTTCGCAAGGCAAAGCACACCAGCCAATTCTTGTGACCATGCCAGACGACGAGCTCAAGCCAGACGCAATCATCTGAACCGCGAAACCAATTTTTTTGGGGTTGGTAGTGATGGATTGTCGGTACACGTATGAAAAAATTCAATAGAAAACCTACCGAATTCGATAGATATTTCTGTTGGAATTCTACAGGAATTCTATTTGTTTTTGCGCTGATTCTATTGGATATTCGATAAAAAAAGTCAATAGATTTCGAATTTCTGTTTAAATTTTTCTCTTGAGATTGTTTCTATAAGAATGCTTGGGCATCAATTTTCTAAGTTCTTTCCACTCGGATTCTGCGATGCAAAACAAAAAATAATCCAGCGGAAAAAACTTGAAAACTTTATGCCCAATACTTCTAATAGAAAAAAGCTAAGAGAAAAATTCTAACAAATTCAAAATCTATTGACTTTCTTATCGAATATCCAGTAGACTCGGCGCAAAAAACGATTAGAATTTTTCAATAGTATTCCAATAGGAATCCTATAGAAACTGTAGAATTCGTATAGAATTCCAATAGAATTTTGTAAGGAATTCGCTATGTTTTCTATTGAATTTTTTCATGCGCGCATTATCTAGAGAAAGATTCTTTGGCGGGGGGGAGGGGGTCAGTTGAACTAAAAATTGGGGGAGGGGCTAAAAAATCTATAAAATGTAGATACATGGATGTTTTAGAACAAGAGGAGCGACACACAGGGTTTTGTCAGGCGGATATTCACGCTCGGGTTAACGAGTTTGACTTTGAAAGTACTTTCCAATAAATCCCGAATGTGGTTTTAGATATTTTCGTAATTTTCTCAAAAAATATTCACCATACTTTTTAATCACATTGTTTGTCTCTATTTGTGAATTATTGTGTATAAAATTATTTCATTTTATTTATAGTTCTTTGGGTTTTTGTCTTTGTGAAAATGTATTAGAACAAGTTATTATGCTCAAAGTAGAAGGAAACGAATATAAAGTAGTAGTTTCTTTGATGAGAAGAAGAAGAAGAAGAACAAAAATCGATAGAGTGAAGAATAAATCAACGTCCTGCCGATGAGAATGATGTTGTATAATATATTATTTATAATGATAAGCACTGTATATCTGCATTTCTCATCGTCAAGATGTTCGCAATTGGTTTTTTTTGTCAATTAAAAACTGTAGATATCAACATGTTTTTTTTTCATATTTGTTTTTTATATAAAAGTGAGAATGAATTGCGAGACGCGGTTTAATGAGGTCTCAATGTAACGATTTTATTGTAATTGTAATTGTCGTAATCGTAGTCGTATTGTTGGTAAGTGGTTGTTAACGGGGATATTGTGTCATTATCACGCTGATGACGATAGTGATGCCGGGGTCAGGCTAATTCATTGCTGTCGGGAAAGTGTTCACGTGCATCAATACACGCAGCTAGATCGAGCACTATGTGATGTAGCGTTGGATGCTGCAGTACCTCTGCCTCGGGCAGTGGTGGATGGCAGCACGGTCGCTGATGACGACCACGAAATGATCGGTGCAGGTGTAGTACAACGTCACAGAACACGTAGCGTACAACTAGCAATCGCAGGAAGTCGTCGCCGAAAAATTGGAGAATACTGCTTTCTGGAAGACGACAAAATATCTTTGAATACAAAATTTAACTCAGAATTGAATACAAATTCCAGGGTAACTAATCGAGAATTCAAGCCTAATTATGATGCGACTAATTATTAACCTTTGCCACATGTCACGCTGGAATCGCTCACTACCTGCCTATGATATACGATAAAATCACATGTCATTTAATTATTTTTGTTAGTAGACGGGCAGTCAGGGATGAAGAGGACCAAAGACAGAAATGAAGGAAGATAGGAGAAAGATACTGTGATCTAATAGAGAAGGAAAGGAAGAAAGAATTAGATATGGAAATAATGTGTTAAAAGGAACTATCTGAGTTGTTAGTTAAAATTTCAAAGTTTAAAATATCTATATAAGCATGTAATAAATAATATAAGGAGAGGTGGAGAAAGAAGGGCTGGTGATGATGTAAAACAAGGAAAGAACTCTTGTAACATCAGGGAAAATAAATTGGATTGAATGAAATAATTATTTTTGTTAATTCTATCTTCCAAATGATACCAAACACTCGCTTTGTACGCCATTTCAATTACATTATATTTTATATTTTAACACGATATGCCTTTACACATCCTCTTGCTAGAAGAGAGCTCTATTGTATATTTACTCTCATAAAGCAATAAATAAATAAATAATATAAAATTCAAAATGTTCTGCCATTTTTTTTTGTTTTGATTTGTCGTTTCCTCTTCTTTCTTCCTCTTTCTTATTCATCGTCCGTCATAAATATTCACAAACCAATGTCAAATATATCTACAGGGGTGGTATAAAAGAACATAAATAAAACCATGTGATTTACATATAACGAAAAAATATGACTCACCACATCTGGAACGAATGACAAGACGGCTTGCCTCGATGAGAAAACGTTCAACGTAATTCTGGCATCGTTCCCAGTGATGCACCGCTAAGCTACCGACGTTGCATATAAGGCAAAAGGCGGCAAGTGGTGAATGAAGAAAGAGGGTGAAGAGACTACCACCGTGACGCACATCACGTAGCGTGGATGGTGTCTCTTGGGGGGACATAAGCACCATCAGTGGCTGACCAAAGTATCTTGGTATTTGCTGGAACACGTAACTATTGTCCGAGTCGACTACCACAAACAGGGGCTTTCTTGTGAAGGGATAGAGATCACCAGGATAGAGGCAATGGGGCTCTTTACCACCGCTGAGTCTTTTTCCATGCTCCGGATCTCGTTTGTTGCTGGTTGTCACACCACCCAGGTCGTATCCCACTTTGTGACCATGAAAAAAATTTCATTATTCTCATGAAGATTCTACTGTTCTTGGGATTAATCAATCGATTGTGGGGAGAAGAATATTGTTATCATGGTAAATGTTCTGTCAATCGTAATCGTAATCAATTCCGTCAATCGTAATTCGTACTGAATATTGCTGATGGTTTTTTGATACCATCCCTCTAGAGGTACCCATGTCACCTTACTGTTTTTTTTCTAGAAAATATCCCGAAATCTCGGGCATTTATTGTCTTTTGTTATTGTTCGTCAATATTTATATAGTATATTTCAGGGCGAGTACCATGGGATTTTTCACTCGCGTGGAGTTCCCCGCCTTCGGCTCGGACTGGCCAACCACGCGAGTAAAAAAACCCCATGACACCAGTCGTGAACGATGATTGTCCGTAGTGATTTTCACTTTTACGAGTTTGGAGAAGGGCCAATACCAATCCCCGGACGAGGAAAGGTGAAGATCAGTACGGAAAAGAAATTTTAACTACACTGTTAAAAATTTGTGTCTGAATTTTTCGTGCTAAATTCCGGAAATTTTTGTTGTGTTCCAATTCCACTGAAATTTCAGGGAATCTTGTCATTGAAAATTCAGAATTTCGTGGAAAAATCAAACAGAACTGTAAATTTCCGTTGCATTTTTCCCTGAAAATAAATAGAAGACCAGAAAATTCTGGTAAATATATTCTTGAATTTTCAGGACAGTGAAACTGAATGCAATTTAGAGGGAAAAAAATAATGAAATTTCAGACGTCACTGGAAATTCAATGCAATTTGACACTGAATATTAAAATTAGATTGAAAATCCAAATAAATTAAGGAATACTCGTCTTTATGCCCCTTAAAAGTCTGGAATTTTACTGAATTTTCACTAAAACCTGAAATTTCATGATTTTTTTCCCCTAAATCATATTCAATGTCACTATCCTGAAAACTGGTAGTCAACTGTCCATGAAATTTCATTTTTTTTCCAACAGTGTATTTTATCATCTACAATTTGTCGAATACTGAGATGTTGGGGTCATTTCACTGGGGAAATTCAAACAACTCGTGAAAAATCAACCTCCAAGTTTCTTCGGATTCACAAAAATGGAAAATCTCAGTATTTTTGTTTCTATTTTGTTAATTATACTAAAACGTAAAAGACTGCACTGATGAGGAGTCCTTCAACANTTTTTGATACCATCCCTCTAGAGGTACCCATGTCACCTTACTGTTTTTTTTCTAGAAAATATCCCGAAATCTCGGGCATTTATTGTCTTTTGTTATTGTTCGTCAATATTTATATAGTATATTTCAGGGCGAGTACCATGGGATTTTTCACTCGCGTGGAGTTCCCCGCCTTCGGCTCGGACTGGCCAACCACGCGAGTAAAAAAACCCCATGACACCAGTCGTGAACGATGATTGTCCGTAGTGATTTTCACTTTTACGAGTTTGGAGAAGGGCCAATACCAATCCCCGGACGAGGAAAGGTGAAGATCAGTACGGAAAAGAAATTTTAACTACACTGTTAAAAATTTGTGTCTGAATTTTTCGTGCTAAATTCCGGAAATTTTTGTTGTGTTCCAATTCCACTGAAATTTCAGGGAATCTTGTCATTGAAAATTCAGAATTTCGTGGAAAAATCAAACAGAACTGTAAATTTCCGTTGCATTTTTCCCTGAAAATAAATAGAAGACCAGAAAATTCTGGTAAATATATTCTTGAATTTTCAGGACAGTGAAACTGAATGCAATTTAGAGGGAAAAAAATAATGAAATTTCAGACGTCACTGGAAATTCAATGCAATTTGACACTGAATATTAAAATTAGATTGAAAATCCAAATAAATTAAGGAATACTCGTCTTTATGCCCCTTAAAAGTCTGGAATTTTACTGAATTTTCACTAAAACCTGAAATTTCATGATTTTTTTCCCCTAAATCATATTCAATGTCACTATCCTGAAAACTGGTAGTCAACTGTCCATGAAATTTCATTTTTTTTCCAACAGTGTATTTTATCATCTACAATTTGTCGAATACTGAGATGTTGGGGTCATTTCACTGGGGAAATTCAAACAACTCGTGAAAAATCAACCTCCAAGTTTCTTCGGATTCACAAAAATGGAAAATCTCAGTATTTTTGTTTCTATTTTGTTAATTATACTAAAACGTAAAAGACTGCACTGATGAGGAGTCCTTCAACAGTTGGAACTTTGTATCACATTGTGCCCAAACATTTGAAATAATAACGATATTCTTATCCCCATAGGTCTACCTTAACAATTACTGTATCTACTTACTTTCCTCAGGATGTTTAACAGTGGAGAAGCAGCCGTCTGCAGACAAATAAAGTAGCAGTGCACCATTGGCAGGCAGTTCTTTGAAACCACTGGCAAGAAATACCTGAACCTGGCTGTAGGTGGGTTTATACAACAGGTACTTGTGGGGGTTTTCACGGCGTGGCATACCATTTTCAGGTGGATATGGGCCAGGTCTAAATGGCAATCTACCTGCTGGTGATGCATCATGCATATGTGTAGGATCATCGCGTGGTTCTCGCTCGAGTGTCTGTAGCATTCTAAACATGTCAACTGATAATTCACTGAATTTAACCTGATCGGCGGAATTTCCAACAATAAGTATCTCTTGGAGAGTTAGGCACATGGGTGGCGATCGCTCGATGGGCGGTGACGTCAACGGACCAAGGCGATGCGTCAATACAACGGGATTTGAGTCGGCATGTAATACACCGACCGCCGATTCAGCTTTAACAAAACCCTTTATCTCCTCAAGCACCAAATTCCATTCAACCTGATCCTCTGGCTCATAAGTACTTGCATAATCGGCTATTTGAGTGTCCAATTCTTGGACAAGTTCACGTACTAATTTCATTTTGTTAAGTAATAAACAAACAACGATAAAACGAGCGTAGTAACGTAATTTTTTCACCATTAAATCACTACGATCCTCCTTAGCTGCACGACTATAGTATGCACGTCCTCTTATTGCTGCATAGAATGAGTATGCCTCGTGTAGGTAACTCGTTTCGCTTGTACGTAGGTAATAGTGATAATAAAGCTGGCCAATTTTACTTGCAATCTCACCGATTTGCCAGCGTTTCAAACCGTACTTTGTGTCCAAAATTGCTCTGGAAAAATTACCATCACGTGGTGAAATTCAGTTGACATTCGTCATGCATATTTGTTCTTCGGATTGTATTTTCTTTTTTGGCGAATCAGATATTATACAGCACGACATGCAGGGATAGAAGACCTAAATAAGACTTTTTAATAATGAAGCAGAACGGACAGGAGATAACAATTCATTTGCATTCTTCTCGTCTCGCAGTGACTATCGACCCATTGGTAAGGTGATACGCCAGACGGATGTTTTTTTTCGGACTTTCCTTTATTATTATTCAGTCACTATATTCCAGTTGACTCTTCCGAGGTAATGCCAGGATTGTTTCATTGGCCAAGTAATATTCAAACAACTTACGTCCGGTAATTTAAACTTTCTGGAAAAAAATCTCAGCCAAAAAATGTTAATCCCGTATCGTCGTTTGGTTTGTTTCCAAGTTCCATTCTTTTTCTCTTTTTATTTTGGATTATCGGGGTATATGTGCACACGAACCAGGGCAAGGACATTAGTGCATTTCCAAGTGCCATATAAAATAAATCCTTGAAAATCTCGTAAATTTATACTTTAAACCAAAATTTTACCATCCGGTCTGCTCTACCTATATTCATGAAAAATGGATACTATTTTAACTGGTATACCGAAGTGACATTTCGCAAATAGTTCAATCCTTAATTCATCAGCGTCTGGTCCACCGCCCTCTGCTGTCCCCAAATACTAACCCCGCTTGGTATTTGATTGTATTTATCAATCAGGTCTAGATGACAGAGAAAAAAAGACTATCCCACGAGAAAGGAAGGAATCACGGAGACCGGAGGCAACAAATGGAGTGAAATAAAATAGCAAATCCCACGTCAGCAAATCGAACTCGTTCCATTCACTCAGGCCAGAAGTTGCTCGAGGTAGACACAAAGCCCTACAGGAAGGGGTGGACATACGAAGCGGGAGGACAAACTGGGGGAAGCGGAGCGGGGAAAGCTCTACATGTGGAAGCGTGCGTGTGCTAGGAAGGATGGTGGTGCTGAGAAATAGAAGTAGGGCGTAGTAGGGGTGCGCAAAGGAACGAGAATAAAAAAGAAAACGACACTGAAGC